ACTAGTTAATGCAGAAGAGCCTCCTGCACCTCAAGTAATTAAACTGATGAAAGTACAGCATGCTCTCTCTCTCAGATCTGGGCCTGCAGCCCAGACTGGGCTACAGTTTCTTTTGCATCAGGTCTGTAGCATTTTAATGGAGAAATAGAAGCAGGAGGAGAGGAATAAGGTCTCCATCCCTCAATCCCACACTGACAGGATGGGAGACCCTAATGCTTTGTTCTTACCCAGCATCATCCACTGCACATCTCAGAAGGGCTATAAATATTAGGCGGTCTTCACAATCCTCCAGAAAGCAGAGAGGAATTTATTTGTAACAGAAAAGATAGGAAATCAGATCTATTTTGCTTTCCCTTTTGTTATTCTGAAAGCTGGAGAGAGGGCTAGGAAGAGAGCCCAGATTTCCCAGAGCACATACCTCTGCCAGGCTTAGCAGACTGACTGAACACCTCTCCTTGGTCCCCCATCACTTGTGTGGCGGGGTTGCATCACCCCACTCCTAGACTCGTGCACCCCAGCAGGCTGGCTGTATGCATGGGATTGGGACTCTGCTTTTAGAAAGGGGATCCTGAGAACAACAGGGATTTTCATGTACCAAGTGGGCCATGCTGTCCATGAGACGAGGCAGAGGGGAGCAAGGCACAGACAAAGCTCCACCCTTATCCATGTCACAGAGGTGCTTTTTTGGCCAGCCTAGTTTAGCAATAGTTTCTTTTATGGTTCTTACATGTATCCAAGCTCCTCCCTAATCTTCCTTTTGCAAGCAACATGGGAGCAATACCAATCCCAGTTGTTAGCCTGACTAAAGAAACTGGATTTTTTCCCCTCTCTCTCTATATGAACCCATTAGATGCAACTTTCCTGTCTTTGCCCGCATAACCACCTCATTTAAAATCCATCATTTCTTAATGATGCAAACATACATCACTGTATTTCCAGTGTGCACCCATTTGATGGTCCCAGCAGCTCCAAGCAAAGCAATACCCCACCCTGTTGCTAGAAAGCAACCAACCTACAGGAGGGTGGCACCCTGAGGCCTAGCACGCATGGCCAGTCAACGATGTCCTGCCACCGTGGCACGGCTCACTCATGCCCACTCACCCCACATCTACCGGAAGGAAATGGAGACCAGAGGAGATCTCCGAGCTCTCACACCCCAGTGAAAGACACAGCCCCTGCAGCTGATCTGTGAACAGATTTATAAAGTCTGATCACAGCCTCCTGCAGTCATCGTTTTACGGTATTAAGTTTAGTTTATGGACAACTCTTTTTTGAGAGTTATTTCCCCCAACACCCAATACCGTTCAAGGCCAAAAATTTCAGAGTAGGCAAACCACTGTCCAGTTCCCAACACCTAAAAAGGTCTATTCACCCTCCAGCACATGGAGAGTACCTGGCTTTTCAAAGGAGCCAGCCCTGTAGAGTACACTCATTGCCCTAATTCTCATCTGTTGCATCAGCCATTCAAAGAAACTTGATGGCACTGAGATGGGTGGTGATGTAAGCAGCCCTCAAAGATAAAAACACATCCCTAGAGGGGGAAAAGGAGCTAGGGAAACAGAGCCCATCCATCTTTGCTGCTTTCTGCATCTCAGCATCCGTCATGCCTGGTGAGCTTAGGAATGGGATCTCAGATTGCGGAGCGCTGAATAGAGTTTATAGGTCTGGTTCCCAGGGGTGGTAGCAGATGCCAAAAAAATGGATAGCCCAATTTCACCTGTTACTGCAAGAGCTCATACCACTTGTGTCCCCTACCTGTAACCCTTTGGCACCAAGACTATAAAGTAAGAACAGTGGAAGTACTTCACGTTTTGTATCTCCTTCCCCTCATGCACTGGACTGTTGTTTGTGAACATCTTTCTTCCATTTCCCTCACCTCTCCTGGCCAAATCAGCCCTTTTGGTCAGGAAATTAAGTAGCGCATATTCTGATTGATCTGAAACATGTTTTCAGCCTTCACCCAGGCTCAGGACAAAGTCAGAGGAGGAAGGAAATCTGAAAAGGAAGGAAAAGTCTGGTGGGTTTAGAATAGGGACTGTAATCAGGATTCAAGATTTGTTCTGGTTGCTGCCACAGATGCCTATAACTCTTCACTGCACAAAGGATGTTGTATCACACGCTTCTCCAGAGTTCCTCGTGGAAAGCAGTACGGATTGCTTGTGCACTCTATAATAGCATGTTCTTGCATACTTCAAATTACCTTCCCGAGGAGGTAAGTCCTTGCTAAAAAAGCCTGAGCAGAAAAACTTCATCTCTTTGTATTTGAATTTCCTCTGCTAGTGTGATGGGAGTACTCTCATAGCCCACCAACGGAGTGACACACCAAATGTTTGCAGTGGCTTTTGTTCAGAGGATGCCAGTGAAAGGGGGAGATTTTTCTCCGGCTGAGGTGCAACACAGATAGCAACAATCACAGGAATTCACATGCAAATGCTTTAGTATGGCACAAGGGCACAAAGTTCGGTTCCTCTTTTTGTAGAGTTCTCTGCAGCAATGCCAGGAACGCGCTTGGAAATCACAACATCTGACCCTCCACCAGCGACAAGCTCTGCAAGCGTTCGCTAACTCCTCTTAAAACTCTTTGGCACCAAGAGTCTCTTTTCTGACAGACACCATTCTGTGCAAGAATGCCTTGTGGTGTGGGAGGCTGTACCCACATCTAATTTCTTCTGGTTCAAAGACTCACCTCTGCCTGTCTCGCTTACCCTCCCGCCTCAAGTATTCGGACTCTTCTAAATTTAACTCTCCTCATCTTTTCATCATTTATCCAGCCTTCCCCTTTAGGGCAATCCATCCCCCTCCCAGGGAGCTCGCCCATGAGCCACCTGAAGTCTGTTTTCCAGCAAGGCCCCAGACGCAGCGGGTGCCGCTGGCGCCGGGCAGAGCCCCGCAGGCACCCTCCCGCGCTCCCAGTTAACGCCCGGATTGCAGCCTGCAGCAGCACCCCCGGGCCCTCTTCCCCGGGGGTCGCGCCC